GTAGGCTATTTTCAAAAAAATATCGATTTTATATCTATATTAGCATTCTTTATCATTTATAATACCTAGATTTGTTTTAAAATGCAATTTAAAGCATTTTTGGTTTCGATCATAGAAGGCTTTTTTCAAAAAAATATCGATTTTATCTCTATATTAGCATTCTTTATCATTTATAAAACCTAGATTTGTTTTAAATTGCAATTTAAAGCATTTTTGGTTTCGATCATAGTAGGCTTTTTTCAAAAAAATATCGAATTTATGTCTATATTAGCATTCTTTATCATTTATAATACCTAGATTTGTTTTAAAATGCAATTTAAAGCATTTTTGGTTTCGATCATAGTAGGCTTTTTTCAAAAAAAAATATCGATTTTATATCTATATTAGCATTCTTTATCATTTATAATACCTAGATTTGTTTTAAATTGCAATTTAAAGCATTTTTGGTTTCTATCATAGTAGGCTATTTTCAAAAAAATATCGATTTTATGTCTATATTAGCATTCTTTATCATTTATAATACCTAGATTTGTTTCAAAATGCAATTTAAAGCATTTTTGGTTTCGATCATAGTAGGCTTTTTTCAAAAAAATATCGATTTTATATCTATATTAGCATTCTTTATCATTTATAATACCTAGATTTGTTTTAAAATGCAATTTAAAGCATTTTTGGTTTCGATCATAGTAGGCTTTTTTCAAAAAAAAATATCGATTTTATATCTATATTAGCATTCTTTATCATTTATAAAACCTAGATTTGTTTTAAATTGCAATTTAAAGCATTTTTGGTTTCTATCATAGTAGGCTATTTTCAAAAAAATATCGATTTTTTGTCTATATTAGCATTCTTTATCATTTATAATACATAGATTTGTTTTAAAATGCAATTTAAAGCATTTTTGGTTTCGATCATAGTAGGCTTTTTTCAAAAAAATATCGATTTTATATCTATATTAGCATTCTTTATCATTTATAATACCTAGATTTGTTTTAAAATGCAATTTAAAGCATATTTGGTTTCGATCATAGTAGGCTTTTTTCAAAAAAAATATCGATTTTATATCTCAATTAGCATTATTTATCATTTATAATACCTAGATTTGTTTTAAAATGCAATTTAAAGCATTTTTGGTTTCGATCATAGTAGGCTATTTTCAAAAAAATATCGATTTTATGTCTATATTAGCATTCTTTATCTTTTATAATACCTAGATTTGTTTTAAAATGCAATTTAAAGCATTTTTGGTTTCGATCATAGTAGGCTTTGTTCAAAAAAAATATCGATTTTATATCTATATTAGCATTCTTTATCATTTATAATACCTAGATTTGTTTTAAATTGCAATTTAAAGCAATTTTCGTTACTATCATAGTAGGCTATTTTCAAAAAAATATCGATTTTATGTCTATATTAGCATTCTTTATCATTTATAATACCTAGATTTGTTTCAAAATGCAATTTAAAGCATTTTTGGTTTCGATCATAGTAGGACTTTTTTCAAAAAAAATATCGATTTTATATCTCAATTAGCATTATTTATCATTTATAATACCTAGATTTGTTTTAAAATGCAATTTAAAGCATATTTGGTTTCGATCATAGCAGGCTATTTTCAAAAAAATATCGATTTTATATCTATATTAGCATTCTTTATCATTTATAATACCTAGATTTGTTTTAAAATGCAATTTAAAGCATTTTTGGTTTCGATCATAGCAGGCTATTTTCAAAAAAATATCGATTTTATATCTATATTAGCATTCTTTATCATTTATAATACCTAGATTTGTTTTAAAATGCAATTTAAAGCATAGTTGGTTTCGATCATAGCAGGCTATTTTCAAAAAAATATCGATTTTATATCTATTTTAGCATTCTTTATCATTTATAATACCTAGATTTGTTTTAAAATGCAATTTAAAGCATATTTGGTTTCGATCATAGCAGGCTATTTTCAAAAAAATATCGATTTTATATCTATATTAGCATTCTTTATCATTTATAATACCTAGATTTGTTTCAAAATGCAATTTAAAGCATTTTTGGTTTCGATCATAGCAGGCTATTTTCAAAAAAATATCGATTTTATATCTATATTAGCATTCTTTATCATTTATAATACCTAGATTTGTTTTAAAATGCAATTTAAAGCATATTTGGTTTCGATCATAGCAGGGTATTTTCAAAAAAATATCGATTTTATATCTATATTAGCATTCTTTATCATTTATAATACCTAGATTTGTTTCAAAATGCAATTTAAAGCATTTTTGGTTTCGATCATAGTAGGCTATTTTCAAAAAAAATATCGATTTTATATCTATATTAGCATTCTTTATCATTTATAATACCTAGATTTGTTTTAAAATGCAATTTAAAGCATTTTTGGTTTCGATCATAGTAGGCTATAATCAAAAAAAATATATCGATTTTATCTCTATATTAGCATTCTTTATCATTTATAAAACCTAGATTTGTTTTAAATTGCAATTTAAAGCATTTTTGGTTTCTATCATAGTAGGCTATTTTCAAAAAAATATCGATTTTATATCTATATTAGCATTCTTTATCATTTATAATACCTAGATTTGTTTTAAAATGCAATTTAAAGCATTTTTGGTTTCGATCATAGAAGGCTTTTTTCAAAAAAATATCGATTTTATGTCTATATTAGCATTTTTTATCATTTATAGTACCTAGATTTGTTTTAAAATGCAATTTAAAGCATTTTTGGTTTCGATCATAGTAGGCTTTTTTCAAAAAAATATCGAATTTATGTCTATATTAGCATTCTTTATCATTTATAATACCTAGATTTGTTTTAAAATGCAATTTAAAGCATTTTTGGTTTCGATCATAGTAGGCTTTTTTCAAAAAAAATATCGATTTTATATCTATATTAGCATTCTTTATCATTTATAATACCTAGATTTGTTTTAAATTGCAATTTAAAGCATTTTTGGTTTCTATCATAGTAGGCTATTTTCAAAAAAATATCGATTTTATGTCTATATTAGCATTCTTTATCATTTATAATACCTAGATTTGTTTCAAAATGCAATTTAAAGCATTTTTGGTTTCGATCATAGTAGGCTATTTTCAAAAAAATATCGATTTTATGTCTATATTAGCATTCTTTATCATTTATAATACCTAGATTTGTTTTAAAATGCAATTTAAAGCATTTTTGGTTTCGATCATAGTAGGCTATTTTCAAAAAAATATCGATTTTATATCTATATTAGCATTCTTTATCATTTATAATACCTAGATTTGTTTCAAAATGCAATTTAAAGCATTTTTGGTTTCGATCATAGTAGGCTATTTTCAAAAAAATATCGATTTTTTGTCTATATTAGCATTCTTTATCATTTATAATACCTAGATTTGTTTTAAAATGCAATTTAAAGCATTTTTGGTTTCGATCATAGTAGGCTTTTTTCAAAAAAATATCGATTTTATATCTATATTAGCATTCTTTATCATTTATAATACCTAGATTTGTTTTAAAATGCAATTTAAAGCATATTTGGTTTCGATCATAGTAGGCTTTTTTCAAAAAAAATATCGATTTTATATCTCAATTAGCATTATTTATCATTTATAATACCTAGATTTGTTTTAAAATGCAATTTAAAGCATTTTTGGTTTCGATCATAGTAGGCTATTTTCAAAAAAATATCGATTTTATGTCTATATTAGCATTCTTTATCATTTATAATACCTAGATTTGTTTTAAAATGCAATTTAAAGCATATTTGGTTTCGATCATAGTAGGCTTTTTTCAAAAAAAATATCGATTTTATATCTCAATTAGCATTACTTATCATTTATAATACCTAGATTTGTTTTAAAATGCAATTTAAAGCATTTTTGGTTTCGATCATAGTAGGCTATTTTCAAAAAAATATCGATTTTATGTCTATATTAGCATTCTTTATCTTTTATAATACCTAGATTTGTTTTAAAATGCAATTTAAAGCATTTTTGGTTTCGATCATAGTAGGCTTTTTTCAAAAAAATATCGATTTTATATCTATATTAGCATTCTTTATCATTTATAATACCTAGATTTGTTTTAAATTGCAATTTAAAGCAATTTTCGTTACTATCATAGTAGGCTATTTTCAAAAAAATATCGATTTTATGTCTATATTAGCATTCTTTATCATTTATAATACCTAGATTTGTTTCAAAATGCAATTTAAAGCATTTTTGGTTTCGATCATAGTAGGACTTTTTTCAAAAAAAATATCGATTTTATATCTCAATTAGCATTATTTATCATTTATAATACCTAGATTTGTTTTAAAATGCAATTTAAAGCATATTTGGTTTCGATCATAGCAGGCTATTTTCAAAAAAATATCGATTTTATATCTATATTAGCATTCTTTATCATTTATAATACCTAGATTTGTTTCAAAATGCAATTTAAAGCATTTTTGGTTTCGATCATAGCAGGCTATTTTCAAAAAAATATCGATTTTATATCTATATTAGCATTCTTTATCATTTATAATACCTAGATTTGTTTTAAAATGCAATTTAAAGCATAGTTGGTTTCGATCATAGCAGGCTATTTTCAAAAAAATATCGATTTTATATCTATTTTAGCATTCTTTATCATTTATAATACCTAGATTTGTTTTAAAATGCAATTTAAAGCATATTTGGTTTCGATCATAGCAGGCTATTTTCAAAAAAATATCGATTTTATATCTATATTAGCATTCTTTATCATTTATAATACCTAGATTTGTTTCAAAATGCAATTTAAAGCATTTTTGGTTTCGATCATAGCAGGCTATTTTCAAAAAAATATAGATTTTATATCTATATTAGCATTCTTTATCATTTATAATACCTAGATTTGTTTTAAAATGCAATTTAAATCATATTTGGTTTCATTTTGGTCATCGTTAATTGCTTTGTGGGTTGAACTAGAATAACGACTGTTTGAAATTCAAATACATTCATTCCTTGCAAAAAACATAGTTTTAACATTAAATTACATTTTTAAACATAGGCAAGGGCATTAATTCTAAAAAAACTAAATTAAAATTGAAATTACTTTAAAGATAACAATAAGAACTGCTGCTTGTGGCTTTAAACCTCATAATTCAACTCACAAATATCTTGAAGATGTTCTAAATGCGGAAATTTTGCTTTTATCATTAAACAAAGTTTCGTTCAATAAAAAATGTCGGTATATTATAAATTTAATAGTGAATTGAATTTTAGCCACGTTGGTTTTGATGGCTTGCATATATCAGTTGCGGATCTTAAGAAGGCTATTTTGCATCAGAAGCGTTTGGGCAAATCGGATTTTGATTTATTGGTAAATATTTCTATATAAAATCATATTGTTTTTTTTTTGGATCCAGCTAATCATAAACATACATAACAATAGATTTCCAATGCACAAACAAAAGAGGAATATGCTGAAGAGGACTGCTTGATACCAAAAAACACATCACTGATTGTTGCACGAGTTCCAATAACTTCGAATCAATACAAAAAATGGGAACAGCACGCTCCAAACGTAGTCCACAATGAGCAACAGAGCATCTCATCATCGGCTTCAAGTGTGGATCTGTCCAAGATGAATGGCTCCGAAGAGGATAAGATTCAAGCAATGATTGCACAAAGTACTTTAGATTATGATCCAACAAAGTAAGTTTTTCCAAACTTTCTCCCCAATTCCTTCTTGTTTATTTATTCATTATGTATGCGCATTATTTTCTCTGATCTATCTATTAATCCTATTATACATGCATTCAAAAAGACATTTCGGAAAAAATAGGTGAAAAATTCTTAGTGCTAATTTTAAATCTATTAACTTTCGTATCTAAATTGACATTTATATTAACGCTTCTTCCAAATTTGATTAATTAGTTATCAACGCGTCCGGGGGACTCAACAATCTGGAGAGGTTCCACAACATTATCGATGTCATCGGTGCCATAAAAGCGGACATTGGATAAAGAACTGTCCAATGAATCCCCCAATGAAGGAACATCACACGAAAGTTCGTGCAGAAAATAAGAAAATGACAGGCATTCCACGTTCATTAAGAGAAAATCCGCCAAACATGAAAGAACCAGAAACTCCTCAAATTGTCGAACAAAAAAAGGAAATCCCTGAAGACTTATTGTGTAGTATATGTAAAAATATTTTCAAGGATGCAGTAATGATTCCTTGCTGTGGAAGTTCCTTTTGCGATGAATGTATTCGAACGTCGCTTTTAGAATCTGATGATAATGAGTGTCCAGAATGTTCAGAAAAAGGAACTTCGCCTGGTTCTTTGATTCCTAATCGTTTTTTGAGAAATGCAGTAGCAGCATTTCAATCGGACATGAATAGTCTCTCATCTCGCGATAAACGTAAGATCAATTAATAGTCATTTCAATATCATCTCTCATTTGCATTTATTGTATGCTTCTTTTAGAACAAGAATCCAGTAAACAGCCAGAAGAAATTGTAAATATAAATGAAATTGTCGAAGAAAAACGAGAAGAGCCAAGCCGTATTGTAGAACATACGGAAGCAAAGGAAGTTGTTATTGACAACATTTTAAAACCTGGTACGAAACCACAAATTTATCATTTTCTATCAATACTTGTATTTATTATTTTTAGCGCATTTTTGAAACTTGTTTCGAAAAGGTAGCTTAATAATACGCTTTGTTCGTTTGCTCGGCTGCATGCAAAAACTTTTAATTAATTGATCAAATATATTTTGAACGTTCGAAAGTTTGAATTTCAAAAAACCGTTAAATGACAAATCCTTTCTGTATGGAAATTCATTGCAATAAATTATTAATTATACTATAATTAATTTTTTTGTACTGCAACTTTTAGCGGGAAAATTTCAAATTATTTATTGATCGCTAGAAATTAGAATTCCAAAAGACCGTTAAATAATAAAGCTTTTCTATATAAGCATTCATTGTAATTGAAATCGATATATAACACGAGGACTTTGGCCAATTTTTTTTTTAAAGATACTTTAGATCAAATTTCGGACAATGAAGAAGACGACGATGATGATGACGATAACATCACAGTAACAGTTCCTTCAGCTTCGCAGCAAAGTGGCGCAGAATTTAGAGAAATAATCGTTTTTACACCGCAAAGACAAGACAGTTCACAAGAAATTCAGGAACCAATTTTAGATAATCGTGAAAAGTCTAAATCAAGTCAATACTCTGATAATTCTGGGTATTCTGGCTACTATCAAGGCTCTGGAAATAATAATGCTTACGAAGGACAGCCAAATAAAAATATGGGGAATTCGTATCAAGAGAATATGGATAAAAATTATCAGCCTATTCCTGTAAATACACAAAATCAATATCACCAGCAACAGCACGGATATAATCAGCATCAAAATATGCACATCCCACAACATCGTCCTCAACAATATCCCCAACAAGGCCAGTATCATCAATCAGGTCCACAACACCAACCTTATTACGGGCACAATCACCACCATCATCAACAGAAGTAAGTTCCTTTTTAAGTTTTAGACATCTAAAGCCTTATGTTTATTATTCTTCAGTATGAGACCAATGAGATATGAGCATAGAGATTTTCACGGGATGAATAAGCATCACAATTTACCTCCAATGCATGCACCGATGAATGAACATTATGCCATGAGATATCAACCTCCTTCAACAAATTTATCTAATATGGTAACTCAAAATATTCAGCAACGATTTGGAACTGGGTAAGATTTTACTTTTTCAATGCACTTTCAGCTAATATGTATGATTATAAATTTTAATTTTCAGGATCATTGAAGATCCTTTGGAGGCATTTAATAAAATTATGAGGGAAAAGGAAATGCGTAAAGATAGATTTAAACGTTCAAGATCTCCTTTGCGCCAGTACAGTCCAGACATAAGACAAAAATCGCCGATTAGAAGACGAAAACGTACTAGATCATTTAGTAGTGGCAGTTCTAAATCGTATTCACGATCACGGTCTCGTTCATATGAAAGACATTATCCCAAAGAAAACATCCACGGACGAGGAGATCATCGCGACATGAGAAGAAAGCATTACTCTACAGAACGAAAAAAGTCTGAGTAAGTATATCTTTACTATAATATAATAATAGTAATCCTTTATTTGAATGCATGAAATATGTCGGAACAAAAATGTAGATTTTTTGATATTAACCTCGTCGGTTTTAAATCAAATTTTAAACTGAGATTTGATTAGTGATATGACATGATTTAAGCTTTGAAAATTTGAGTTTCGGTCAAAAAAATTTTTTTAAAAAGACCAATTAAAACAAAAAAAAATTAATAATATATCTTTACTATAGTGTTAGCGCATTTTTAAAACTTGTTTCTAAAAGGTAGCTTAATAATACACTTTGTTCGTTCGACTTTGTATTATTAACTCCGTTACTAGTGATTTATCGATCTATCGAATACTGGGGGTCCTCGATTTGAGTAGATTCGATTTGAGTAACGAGAATTAATGAATAGAAAATTTCAGAGGTCGAAGTTGGTGAAGTGAAGTCGTTTCACTTCACTTCACTTCACTAAAATTTCAATCGGTTTTAAGTCAGCTCGAGTGAACTCATTTTTTTCGTATTCACTCGAGTCGACTTTTAACCGAGTTGATTTTTTCGTGTTCACTCGAGTCGACTTTTAACCGAGTTGATATTTTCGTGTTCACTTTAGTCGACTTGAAACCGACTTGATTTTTTCGTGTTCACTCGAGTCGACTTTTAACCGAGTTGATTTTTTCATGTTCACTTTAGTCGACTTGAAACCGACTAGAGTTCACTAAGGAAAAAAAAATATATTATAACAAACTGATTTCTGCTAGTGCTTGTGAAGTATATGTGATTACATACAAAATTGCAGAATTTGTCCTTTTTTACTTTTCATAACCATAAAGCAAACTAAACGAATTAATTCAAAATATTTTTCAAACTTCCAGTTTATTATAATTCAAGTTTTAATTTTTTTTTTCATTATTTATGTTTGTACGTTGAAGAAATTTAACTCTATAAATAAGAAAAAAGTGTTACAGATCTAAATTTATTTTATTATTCTTAAAGATTAAATTTAAATGTATTATGCAGCACAATTTTTGTATCCTTTTTCCAGAGATCAAACAAATAAATCTGAAATTAAAATATATTTACCAAAATTGGAAATATGGTGTGAATTAAAATAATTTCATTCATAATTGTAGCAGTTCGTAATAAATAATTTCAAATCAGAAAAATAATCTATAGTGCAAAACATTTATAAAATATATGAAATCTAAAAAATATTTTAAACTAATTCGTTTAGTTTGCTTTATGGTTATGAGAAGTAAAAAAGGACAAATTCTGCAATTTTGTATGTAATCACATATACTTCACAAGCACTAGTAGAAATCAGTTTGTTATAATACATTTTTTTTTCCTTAGTGAACTCAAGTCGGTTTCAAGTCGACTAAAGTGAACATGAAAAAATCAACTCGGTTAAAAGTCGACTCGAGTGAACACGAAAAAATCAAGTCGGTTTCAAGTCGACTAAAGTGAACACGAAAATATCAACTCGGTTAAAAGTCGACTCGAGTGAACACGAAAAAATCAACTCGGTTAAAAGTCGACTCGAGTGAATACGAAAAAAATGAGTTCACTCGAGCTGACTTAAAACCGATTGAAATTTTAGTGAAGTGAAGTGAGTTTGCTTCATCGACTTCGACCTCTGGAAAATTTAAAATATTTTTTTGTAACGGACAATTAGTAGTTTAAAATCTTAAAACAGCATGAATGAGTGTAGAAATTTTAATTTTTTTCTACAGTTATAAAAATTGTCCGGGTGCGTTCAGAAATTCAAATTTATTTCTACTGTTAAAAAAATTTGAATTTTAAAAAACCATCAAATGAAAATTTCTTTCGAATTCGAGAAAAAAGTCAAAAGACTAATCCTGTTGAATTTAACAGTTTATTTTGTCCGATCGATTTATTTGCTCAATATAAAAAGTAGGGCCCGACAAAAAAAAATTATTCGTGAGTGACGCTTTAAAACATAAATATCTCCAAAACCACAAAAGTGACAAATTTCAAAGTTATTTTATCTTGTACGAAACAAAAATCCCCATCTTTTGACATACAACTCACTCCCTAAAGTTAAGCAGATGCATCAGAAAATCATCAGATGCTATAACTTTGTCAGCTTTCATATTTATATCTTCAATTAAGAAATTTTATTTTCTAGTGCTTAGCTTCAAAAAACTTAATAAATTGTCCTGGAAACATACTTATATGAACAAAACTAAGTTAAATTTTTAACGGTTTTAAATTTTTTGAATATTTTCGGTTGCAATTTGTTTGTTTACAAACAAAATCCGAAATGAAAAGTCACGAAAATGTCACTCAAAAATGATGAAAAAGCTCTTAAAATAGTCAGAGAAGCTAATGTACCATCTACTTTTCGTATTTAAATCAAAATATTTGGGATTGATGATTGAATAATTCAGAATTTTGAGAATTTAATTTTTGATGTTTTGTATGATAGTGTTAGTGAAAAATTCAAATCATTTTTTACCGTTAACCAAAAATCCTTAAAAAATGGTATAAAACGTGTAAAAAAATTTCAAATCTATGAAACCGTTAAAAATATGAATTTTAAATAACCGTCAAAGGACAAGAAATCGTAAACTGAACATAATGATTGTAAAACAGAGTTGCGATCTGTCACAGGTCAACAAAAACAGCCCACCTGTCACAGGCCGTTACCTGTTCACAGGTCAAAATTTTTCGCCTATCACAGGTCTGACCTGTCAAAGGTTCTACCTGTCACAGGCCGTTACCTGTTCACAGGTCAAATTTTTTCGCCTGTCACAGGTCAGACCTGTCAAAGGTTCTGCCTGTAACAGGCCGTTACCTGTTCACAGGTCAAATTTTTTCGCCTGTCACAGGTCAGACCTGTCAAAGGTTCTGCCTGTAACAGGTCGTTACCTGTTCACAGGTCAATTTTTTTCGCCTCTCACAGGTCTGACCTGTCAAAGGTTCTGCCTGTAACAGGTCGTTACCTGTTCACAGGTCAATTTTTTCCACCTGTCACAGCTCTGACCTGTCGCAGGCCTCACCTGTGACAGGTCGTCACCTGTTGACAGGTAGAAAAAATCTACCTGTTGACAGGTAGACCTGTCACCTGTCACCTGTCACCTTTGACTATCGAAATTTTTTTCTTCTAGTGAAGTATAAAGATTTCATACAAAATTCATCAATTTTTTTGCTTCCTCAAGTCACGAGTTCAAATCTCACCGCAAGCAACTTTCTTTTTTTGCATTTTTATGATTTGTTTTTAAACTTTTTTGATAAAATATTAAGTTTTATGACAAAGTTTTCCATTTTCATATTTTATTTCTTCACTTTCTATATTTTAACATGTATTTTAAATTTTTTCCATATATTTTCATACAAATTCAACTTTTTTTGTCATATTTTATCAATATTTTATACATATTTTATTTTAACAAGTTGAAATCTGATACAAAGGCTCTTTTCCTAGATCTAAATGTTCTGAAATCGTAATCTTGGATTATAATTTTTTATATATTTCGACTTTTTGCGGTCTCGAATGACAAAGTCTATACTAGTTTTAATATTTTATGCCATTTTATGATCCAAGATTACGATTTTAGAACATCCAGATCTAGGAAAAGAGCCTTTGTATCAGATTTCAACTTGTTAAAAATAAAATATGTATAAAATATTGATAAAATATGACAAAAAAAGTTGAATTTGTATGAAAATATATGGAAAAAATTTAAAATACATGTTAAAATATAGAAAGTGAAGAAATAAAATATGAAAATGGAAAACTTTGTCATAAAACTTAATATTTTATCAAAAAAGTTTAAAAACAAATCATAAAAATGCAAAAAAAGAAAGTTGCTTGCGAAGAGATTTGAACTCGTGACTTGAGGAAGCAAAAAAATTGATGAATTTTGTATGAAATCTTTATACTTCACTAGAAGAAAAAAATTTCGATAGTCAAAGGTGACAGGTGACAGGTGACAGGTCTACCTGTCAACAGGTAGATTTTTTCTACCTGTCAACAGGTGACGACCTGTCACAGGTGAGGCCTGCGACAGGTCAGAGCTGTGACAGGTGGAAAAAATTGACCTGTGAACAGGTAACGACCTGTTACAGGCAGAACCTTTGACAGGTCAGACCTGTGAGAGGCGAAAAAAATTGACCTGTGAACAGGTAACGACCTGTTACAGGCAGAACCTTTGACAGGTCTGACCTGTGACAGGCGAAAAAATTTGACCTGTGAACAGGTAACGGCCTGTTACAGGCAGAACCTTTGACAGGTCTGACCTGTGACAGGCGAAAAAATTTGACCTGTGAACAGGTAACGGCCTGTGACAGGTAGAACCTTTGACAGGTCAGACCTGTGATAGGCGAAAAAATTTGACCTGTGAACAGGTAACGGCCTGTGACAGGTGATCTTTTGACAGAAACTGTCACCTTTACCTGTGACAGGTACCTGTCGTCGCAACTCTGTTGTAAAATACAACACGAAAGCTTTGCTAAAAGCAAACTTTTAGATCTATTTGCTTGTTGATTCGCATTTTGATGCTAACCGAATACTGATCGCTGCGTCAAAAATGCACTGAAGTCCCTCGATCAATAACACCAGGACTTTTTATAAACAAAACGGACTCCTAAACACCAGTAATTGATAAGTTCCTAATAAATCTTATTCGCTTTATTTCGATAGAACAAGAAGCTCAAGAACTCATCGTAATAAAACACCAAATGAAACTGCCAACTCGAAGAAATCAAATTACGACAATCCACCTGGTTCACATGAGCATAAGTAAAATTTTATTTAATTAAATCTAACACAATAATCAACATTAAATTTAGTAAAAATTCTAGATCGGAAAGGAATAAACCACTTTCATTGCCTGAGCCAGTCATTAGTGAAAGTGTGAGTACAAATGACGGAGAGCCACCACCACCGGGCGAAGAGTTATCAATGAATTCATCCCATAACGTAGAAAATCAGCAAATCCAGAAGACAGATGAGAAAGAAAATTATAGAGACAAGGATGAGAAAAATCCAGCATCTCCAGAAAAGGAAAAAGGTTCAGCGGATGAGTCTAAGCACTCGAAAAAGCCTCGTGATGAGTCTAAGCACTCAAAAAAGCCTCGTGAAAGAAAAAAGCATAAAAAAGAAAATAAAAAGAAAAAGCGCGATCGTAAAGAGAAAAAATCATCTTCGTCTAAGAGCAATACTCCAGAAATTGAGGATAGAAGCATGATAAAAAGATCGGCATCAAATGAACAAAATGCCGAAAAGCCTTTAGAGAGTGAAGCTGAAAAGGATAATTTAAGTGAATCAATGATGGAACGTGAAAGTAAGTGTCAAACATCAAATCACTCTTCAGATTTTAATATGTTGGCAGTTTCAGATGACACAAATTTTGATTCCAAATTTGATAATTATTTAGTTGAGCCTGAACTATCCAAATGGGAGCGTGATGAAAGTATTCATATTGAAAAGAATCATGATCACCAGAAAAATTCAACACAAAGTAATGAAGTATCGAGTGGAAATAGTGAAGTCACATCTGAAATAATTAAAAGAGCTGAAAATGCCATTTTTGCTAAGGCAGTAAATGCGATACGTCCACAAGAACAAAATAACAAGATATCTTCTAAAAACGACAATTCTCCATTACCGTCACTAGTAAAGAAAGTTGATGGAGATAAAAAGTATGAATCCGTTCAAGTTACAGTTCCAACTGATAATTCTGGAAATCGCTCAATTGAAATTAAATCTGAGGACAGCAATGCAACTAACAGAAACAAGTCTGATGCTCCAAAACCGGCATCGATTAAGGATCGTTTAGGAAAGAAGATTGATGTAAGATCTCGGTCAAAAGAGGAGAAGAGGCCACACCAATCACAATCAGATTATGACAAGAAAAATGTTCGACGACCTTATCAATTAAACTCCTGCATTAGTTCCATTTCAAAATACTCTGATCGAAGAAATGACAAAAGGTCAACGAATCGAAGATCTAAAAGCATCGAGCACAGATCAACGAGCAGGAAATATGATAGAAGTCGTTCAAAAAGTTCAAACAGGAATGATCCCAAAAGGCAAAAGTTAAATGACGACAAACGTATGCATCACAGGTCCGTAGACGAAAGAGATAGAGATAGAGATCGTGAAAAGGATAGAGAGAGGGGGCGAAATCGTTCGAGGCATCGAACTCGATCACCAAAACCATCGTCAAGTAGTAAAATAATTGAAAAAGCGCGATCAACGTCTACGGAATCAAAAAAGCATAAGAAAAAGAAGAAGAAAGATAAGAAATCTAAAAAGAAGAGTCGTGGTTAATTAGTTTATGAAACTAGCTTATCCATTTCTAACATAAATGCATTAATTTAATGATAATTTCAATTGAATAAAAATCGTATGAATATGAAAAATTTAATTTCGTAACTGTTTTCAATTTTTTTATCCTTTTCTTTCAACTTTAGAAAAAATATTTCAAACCCCTCACGCAAAAACGTGTTAAAATTTCATTTAATTAATTGAACAGTTTCAAAGTCTATACTAGATTGTAAAACTATTTATTTTAGCACTCAGTGACGTCTATTTCCGATTAAAAATGGGGAAAGGCCAAAGAAAGCATGATTTAAGTTCGAAAATGGACTATGATGAAATCCTGAGCGATTCAAAAGAAATTCTCAAGAAAAAAATTACAGAAGTCCTCGTGTTCGAGAAAGTTAAGCGCATTTTTGTGTAAGCGATCAGTATTTGATTATCAAATTATTTTGCGTTCATTTACAGATCATGATAATAATAATAATAATAGTAATCCTTTATTTGAATGCATGAAATATGTCGGAACAAAAAAGAAGATTTTTTGATATTAACCTCGTCGGTTTTAAATCAAATTTTAAACTGAGATATGATTAGTGATATGACATGATTTAAGCTTTGAAAATTTGAGTTTCGGTCAAAAGATTTTTTTTTAAAAAGATCAATTAATACAGATCATGAGCAGTATAGCTGATTTTGGTCCAAATCTCGGCCATACTTCACACTGATTTGAACCACATTTTCTCGTAAATGTAAAAATATTATTAAAAAGTAATTAATCCTGAATTATGTCGCTATTTTGTCAAGTGTTTTAAGATAAAGAATTTGTTTTTTGGTTTCCACAGTGAAGAGTATGAATAAATTTCAGATGGAGTAGTCGACATTTTAGATTTCGATTTTTTTTAAGCTATGCATTACAAAAAGTAATATTGGTATGTGATTTATGTCAGAATTATGTCAATTCAAATAAAACATCCAAAAAACTTTTTGACCAAAGAACCAAGTAGGTAATACATTTTCAATTTTGGACTAGGGGCGACGCTAGTCAAAATCAATTTTGTCACTTTTTTCTTCAAGGGTTTATCCAAATGGATTAAAACTTTGCATAAATATTTTGAAGCTTAAAACAAATACAAATAAAACATCCTAAAATTTTTTTGAGCAAAGAACCAAGTAGGAAATACATTTTCAATTTTGGACTAGGGGCGACCCTAGTCAAAATCAATTTTGTCACTTTTTTCTTCGAGGGTTTATCCAAATGGATTAAAAATTTGCATAAATATTTTGAAGCTTAAAACAAATACAAATAAAACATCCTAAAATTTTTTTGAGCAAAGAACCAAGTAGGAAATACATTTTCAATTTTGGACTAGGGGCGACCCTAGTCAAAATCAATTTTGTCACTTTTTTCTTCAAGGGTTTATCCAAATGGATTAAAAATTTGCACAAATATTTTGAAGCTTAAAACAAATACAAATAGGACATCTTAATTGTTTTTTGAGCAAAGAACCAAGTAGGAAATACATTTTCAATTTTGGACTAGGGGCGACCCTAGTCAAAATCAATTTTGTCACTTTTTTCTTCAAGGGTTTATCCAAATGGATTAAAAATTTGCATGAATATTCAAGCGCTTAAAACAAATACAAATGAAACATCCAAAATGTTTTAAAACAAAAAAACCAAGTAGGAAATACATTTTCAATTTTGGACTAGGGGCGACCCTAGTCAAAATCAATTTTGTCACTTTTTCTTCAAGGGTTTATCCAAATGGATTGAAACTTTGCATGAACATTCTTGTGCTTAAAACAAATACAAATAAAACATCCAAAAATTTTTTTGAGCAAAGAACCAAGTAGGAAATACATTTTCAATTTTGGACTAGGGGCGACCCTAGTCAAAATCAATTTTGTCACTTTTTTCTTCGAGGGTTTTTCCAAATGGATTGAAACTTTTTAAAAATATTCTAATGCTTAAAAAAAATACAAATAAAACATGCTAAAATTTTTTTGAGCAAAGAACCAAGTAGGAAATACATTTTCAATTTTGGACTAGGGGCGACCCTAGTCAAAATCAATTGTGTCACTTTTTTCTTCAAGGGTTTATCCAAATGGATTAAAAATTTGCATAAATATTTTGAAGCTTAAAACAAATACAAATAAGACATCTTAATTTTTTTTTGAGCAAAGAACCAAGTAGGAAATACATTTTCAATTTTGGACTAGGGGCGACCCTAGTCAAAATCAATTTTGTCACTTTTTTCTTCGAGGGTTTATCCAAATAGATTGAAACTTTGCATGAATATTCAAGCGCTTAAAACAAATACAAATGAAACATCCTAAATTTTTTAGAGCAAAGAATCAAGTAGGAAATACATTTTCAATTTTGGACTAGGGGCGACCCTAGTCAAAATCAATATTGTCACTTTTTTCTTCAAGGGTTTATCCAAATGGATTAAAACTTTGCATAAATATTTTGAAGCTTAAAACAAATACAAATAAAACATCCTAAATTTTTTTGAGCAAAAAACCAAGTAGGAAATACATTTTCAATTTTGGACCAGGGGCGACCCTAGTCAAAATCAATTTTGTCACTTTTTCTTCAAGGGTTTATCCAAATGGATTGAAACTTTGCAAAAATATTCTAGTGCTTAAAACAAATACAAATAAAACATCTCAATTTTTTTTTTGAGCAAAGAACAAAGTAGGAAATATATTTTCAATTTTGGACCAAGGGCGACCCTAGTCAAAATCAATTTTGTCCCTTTTTTCTTCGAGGGTTTATCCAAATGGATTGAAACTTTGCATGAATATTCTAGTGCTTAAAACAAATACAAATAAAACATTCAAAAATTTTTTTGAGCAAAGAACCAAGTAGGAAATACATTTTCAATTTTGGACTAGGGGCGACCCTAGTCAAAATCAATTTTGTCACTTTTTTCTTCGAGGGTTTATCCAAATGGTTTGAAACTTTGCAAAAATATTCTAGTGCTTAAAACAAATACAAATAAAACATCTCAATTTTTTTTTGAGCAAAGAACCAAGTAGGAAATATATTTTCAATTTTGGACCAAGGGCGACCCTAGTCAAAATCAATTTTGTCCCTTTTTTCTTCGAGGGTTTATCCAAATGGATTGAAACTTTGCATGAACATTCAAGTGCTTAAAACAAATACAAATAAAACATCCAAAAATTTTTTTGAGCAAAGAACCAAGTAGGAAATACATTTTCAATTTTGGACTAGGGGCGACCCTAGTCAAAATCAATTTTGTCACTTTTTTCTTCGAGGGTTTATCCAAATGGATTGAAACTTTGCATGAACATTCAAGTGCTTAAAACAAATACAAATATAACATCCTAAAATTTTTTTGAGCAAAGAACCAAGTAGGAAATACATTTTCAATTTTGGACTAGGGGCGACCCTAGTCAAAATCAATTTTGTCACTTTTTTCTTCGAGGGTTTATCCAAATGGATTAAAACTTTGCATGAACATTCAAGTGCTTTAAACAAATACAAATAAAACATTCAAAATTTTTTTGAGCAAAGAACCAAGAAGGAAATACATTTTCAATTTTGGACCAGGGGCGACCCTAGTCAAAATCAATTTTGTCACTTTTTTCTTCGAGGGTTTATCCAAATGGTTTGAAACTTTGCAAAAATATTCTAGTGCTTAAAACAAATACAAATAAAACATCTCAATTTTTTTTGAGCAAAGAACCAAGTAGGAAATATATTTTCAATTTTGGACCAAGGGCGACCCTAGTCAAAATCAATTTTGTCCCTTTTTTCTTCGAGGGTTTATCCAAATGGATTGAAACTTTGCATGAATATTTAAGTGCTTAAAACAAATACAAATAAAACATCCAAAAATTTTTTTGAGCAAAGAACCAAGTAGGAAATACATTTTCAATTTTGGACTAGGGGCGAACCTAGTCAAAATCAATTTTGTCACTTTTTTCTTCGAGGGTTTATCCAAATAGATTGAAACTTTGCAAAAATATTCAAGTGCTTCAAACAAATACAAATAAAACATCCTAGAATTTTTTTGAGCAAAGAACCAAGTAGGAAATACATTTTCAATTTTGGACTAGGGGCGACCCTAGTCAAAATCAATTTTGTCACTTTTTTCTTCGAGGGTTTATCCAAATGGATTAAAACTTTGCATGAACATTCAAGTGCTTAAAACAAATACAAATATAACATCCTAAAATTTTTTTGAGCAAAGAACCAAGTAGGAAATACATTTTCAATTTTGGACTAGGGGCGAACCTAGTCAAAATCAGTTTTGTCACTTTTTTCTTCGAGGGTTTATCCAAATGGATTAAAACTTTGCATGAACATTCAAGTGCTTAAAACAAATACAAATAAAACATCCTAAAATTTTTTTGAGCAAAGAACCAAGTAGGAAATACATTTTCAATTTTGGACTAGGGGCGACCCTAGTCAAAATCAATTTTGTCACTTTTTTCTTCGAGGGTTTATCCAAATGGATTGAAACTTTGCATGAACATTCAAGTGCTTAAAACAAATACAAATAAAACATCCAAAAATTTTTTTGAGCAAAGAACCAAGTAGGAAATACATTTTCAATTTTGGACTAGGGGCGACCCTAGTCAAAATCAATTTTGTCACTTTTTTCTTCGAGGGTTTATCCAAATGGATTAAAACTTTGCATGAACATTCAAGTGCTTAAAACAAATACAAATATAACATCCTAAAATTTTTTTGAGCAAAGAACCAAGTAGGAAATACATTTTCAATTTTGGACTAGGGGCGAACCTAGTCAAAATCAGTTTTGTCACTTTTTTCTTCGAGGGTTTATCCAAATGGATTAAAACTTTGCATGAACATTCAAGTGCTTAAAACAAATACAAATAAAACATCCTAAAATTTTTTTGAGCAAAGAACCAAGTAGGAAATACATTTTCAATTTTGGACTAGGGGCGACCCTAGTCAAAATCAATTTTGTCACTTTTTTCTTCGAGGGTTTATCCAAATGGATTGAAACTTTGCATGAACATTCTTGTGCTTAAAACAAATACAAATAAAACATTCAAAAATTTTTTTGAGCAAAGAACCAAGAAGGAAATACATTTTCAATTTTGGACTAGGGGCGAC